GCTAGCTATTTTTGTCTCGCTTTTAGCAACAATAACACACGAATACAGCATTTCTAATTTTGAATTAAGCAATAAATATCTTTTCTCCATTTTTGCTATGAAAGAATATCTTTATTCTTTATGAAACATTTTGGTTACTAATGTATTCAATAAGCAAAGAAAGTGGAAAAAAGTTGAAACTTTCAAGTATGAATCAGACAAAAACAAAAAAAAGCAAAAAGCATCCTAACATGAAGGTTACTTTATTCACATTTATGACCTATTGAAGTAATAACAATAATGACTGAAATATTTCAGTCAATAGCAAATTTAAAATTGTTTGATATTTATGCATTCGAAAATAGATTTAAGTAGAATAACGAATCACTCATCACTGTGCAAATCATAATTTTATGACTCAAAATAATATTGTACAACAATTTCAGCAGAAGCAACAAATAATAAAAATATCTTCTACTATTTCATTACATTGACAAAAGTGATCATGCAACAAGTCAAACTTGACAAATCTGCAAAACTGCCACTGCGATACACTAAAATTCGTAAAAAGATAAATTTTAATATTCCATTTTTACTTGCTCAACCGATTGTAATGTTATTTTGATGCTAACATTCAGAACCAAATCAATAAACTATGCATTCAGAAAGTCCACTTTAATCAAATTTACATTATGGACTTCTGATAAAATTCAAAATGAGATTGCAATTTTTTTTAGAACATATTTTACACAAAAATGCATTTAAAATGCTCTGGAAGTAATGTTTGTTGGTAATTTGCTAAATGTTAAAAAAATGTAACAAACAATAAAATCAACAAAAACACAAAGTTTATCAAAAGATAGAATTAAATAACAATATTTGGCAGTTAAAAAATTGTATGCTAACATTTATCGTTATTGTTAGAGGAAAATTACTGAGATGTTTCTTGAGGACGCCAAAAAGTAAACTATTGCTTGAAATTCTGCCCTTAACCTTTGCATTATATTTTGGAACCAAAATCTAAACTATGATATCATCAAAAAGGAAATCCTGCATTCTCAAACTTTTTAATTAAATTTACGCGAAACAAAAATGCTGCTATAAATTTACTTATCTGCACGATAGATGTCTATCGTTTAAATGAAATCACAAAAACATCAGAAAAGTGATAATTATATGCTTCATAAATAGAAATTTCAAATATTTTATCAAACTTTAAAATCTCATTCCATAGCCAATGAGTTTCCTCGTCAGATTTCAATAGACCCCATCCTAATCTCTAATCTCAAATAATCATTTACGATCTGAGTAGTAGACAGTTTCCATCATCCTCCATTTACGCCTATTACAATACACGTCGTACTCGTTGAGCATTTGAAGCTAAACTAGATCACAGTATCAACGATTTTTAATCAAAATCATTTAATCTCATCACAAAGATCATTAACATTTTTACAATTATCGTCAAAATATGATTATAAGAATATCAAATTAGTTACAAGATGAAAATATAATCTGGTAATAATTTGATAAAATAAAATTAAAATCAGCAAAGATGTTTTATCCTTAAATGATCTCTACACGAAGCATCAAGTCTAATATGAAGAATGATGCAGTAAACACCTTATAAAAAATATCTTTTATAGATTTTAATTTTCAGAAAGTTTGTAGTAATTTTTGAGTTTCACAAAGATAAGACAATATAAACAATAGAGGAAAATTGAAAAAATAAAAATCAAAAAAGACAAATCTGTAGGAAAAATAAAGTTGTTTTATTTGGTTTGTCTGCTTCAACACTATTTACATCCATATCATAAAATAGTATTGTATGTTTTTTTTTATCTGAAGCTCAAATTCAATTAGTAGTAATGATACTTGAATTGATAAATGTATTGGTTGTAAAATCAAACCACGCACAGTAATCACAATGAGATAAAAAATGGAAAATGTCATTATAGTAATAAGAACTGTCATTCCAATATTTAGGGCAATAAACCAATCCAGACCAACCAAATGTTATTTTTTCCGAATACTACGAAAATAGCCAAAAATGTACTGAAAATAGTCATTTTCAGCTTGATTATCATAATGCGCTAGCCAAGTTCCGTGATGCATGTAATACTCAAACTTCAGATTAACTAATTCTAAATAAAATAATTCGAAAATAACAATATATATATATAATTATTTACATTAACTTATCATTTATTTAGTTTTTCACTTTAAAAACTATCCACCAAAATAGCTCTTAATAAAAAACATTATTTACAGCTTAACTTAATGTCTTACTCGTAATTCTCGCAGAGTAGTGTTTTAGCATGTGTAGAGTAGTGTATAATATGAAAAGTAATGTTGAATGATTGTAAGAAAAAATTGTTTAATGACATTTGTATTAACTACTGCCAAAATCTTCTACGCAATATACATCAACTAACTTTTTTTAACTGTTAAAAAGTTATGGAGGATTTTTGCATGATTTAAGATGATTAAAAAGCTTTTATCTTGAAGTAATACTTAAAATAAACAAAACTCGCGGCTCCAATGTTATCAAACCATATAACTTATTATATTACTAAGAACATCTGAGAAGCATAGTAATGGTAGCTTTTTCAAAAAATCGAATTTGCTCTCCAGCAAAAAATCATATTGCCCCAAATATCCTTTACTTATGCCGTAGTATTTTCCGATTAACTCCGTATGTGTTTTTTCCTCTTTAATTAAAAATAAATGATGCAGATAAAAATAGAATTAATGAAAAACGTTAAATAACCATATTAATACTTTCGTTTTGATGAAACAGAATTTGTTCTCTTGTTTCGTAAAGTTTAATAAATTGTAATGTACAAAAAGTGAAATAATAAAATTTGCAGTATCATAAATACAAAAAAAGTTTTTTTATTAGATATCATGTTAATAACAATAATTGAAAACGCTAATAAGATTAGACTTCCAAGATTTTTAAATTGCATAAGAGTGGTGAATCCTTGAAAAGCTGTTAAACTTTATCAATCAAACTAAACTTCCATCATTTGACAAAAATATAATTTTATCATAGAAAAAATAAGGAATATTGTTGTTTCTAAACATGTAAGCACAATATTTTCATTTACAGATAATGGAAATTAATATAATTATGGAAAAGAAACGTAATGAAAATAAAACTATTACTTTTAAATGACTTGTCTGAATATACTTGTTGCCTTCCACCTCCTTAAATCGTGAACAAACAAAGACACAAGACTGAAATTCCTCATCAAACTTGAACAAGCAACCAAGATTTTGTGAAGCTACTTTTCCAATAGCGCAGAAATTTGACTTCGTATGATCATGAATTGCTTATAATACTTCTCCAGTATTTCACGACATGACTTGAAAGGTTTTTTGGAAGTAGTGACATCTAACACCCTACCTTAATGTTAGTACAAAAACCTTTTAAAAGTAGGCAATACTGTGATGATCGATACAGAAGAGCAATTTCCCAATCTCTTAACAATTCACATCATGAATCTACTCAAAAATGGCATAAATCGTTAGAAGATCAAAAATATTCTGAAATTTTTGAGTTCTGACACAGACTTTCCGAAAAAAAAACAAAGTACTATATATTATAGAACTAAGATAACAGAACTTATTACGAATAATGTTTATCATATGACAACTCAACAGAAATCTAAAATATCTACTACAAAAGACACACACATGTTGCCGTTAATGGTACCAATCATACTATTCCTACCATAAAGTAATACTAACCACCCCATTTGCAATAATCCCCGCGATTCCTTGAAAACACCTATCCTTGTTTGTAGAATGTACACATCTACTCCTCTCAGACTTACGCCACCTTCAAACATATGTCCTCATCATACAAACAGTCAAACACCTAGATAATTTGCTAGAACCAGCATGAGCACCAAAATTAAGATCTTGTTTATTTGCAACTAAAACTGATTTGCTTCTTACCAGAAAATAAATGCTTTTCATAATGCAGATGAAAGCCAACATCATGTAAAAAGTTTTATCGAAACAAATAAAAGCACAGAAACTACAAATAACATGCAACAAAAAATATATTTTATCGCAACAAGAAACAATAGTAATAATCGAGCGACCAAAAATCTGAATTTCCTGCTGATGCTCTGCATGCAATGTCCGCACTTTCTACCACCTCCTTGTAAAACATGTATGAGAAAAACTAAGACTGCTAGAAATATTCATACACTTCATGCTAAATAATGAATCAGAATAAGTCGTGCGGGATACTGCACAAGGCATAGAACACGAACAGGAATTCTTTCATCAATGAGCAAGTAAAACAGCAAATGAGAGAACGGATTACTGAACTTCTCAGATTGAAAAATAACAACTTTCCAAAATGTTCAAAAAGGTCTTGATTCATACAAATACTAAATCATTATATGTCATGGGAGCATATGATAGTAAAAACTATGTAATACTCAACACGTACTTTAAATAATAAATCTAATAATTGAAATATTGAAATTCTATAACAAAACGAACGTCAACTACGTTACGGTAACTGAATAAAATGATATTAAAGCATTAATAGAAGTGACTGCTAATGTTGATAAATGAAATGGTACAATTTTTTTTCAGTGGAGCTGTTAGGACTGCATACGTCTTTAACAACAATAAAATAAAAACTATGAATAAATTACGAAGCTATCATTCAAAAATTGTTAATGAATGCCCAATGAAGCCAAGATACGACGTTAGTTGTCTTATCATATCATATCTTACCTTAAGTAACAATTTCGAAAAGTCAAAAATAAATTACTACAAAAGAGTAAATTGATAACTCCCAAACTAGCATCGTAAAAGAGTACATTTTAAAAAAATATGGATCCGTTGAGAGGTAAATAACTGATATTTCAGATTAAGCATGAATTGAGATGAATTAATTAAATTTACTACTGTAAAATACGGAATTTGTCCAAAACTATAATTAATGAGATAACTCACATATATTACCGAAGATTTTGGGGTAAAAGACGAACTTATCAACCGATTATAAGGCCAACACCAAATCTCCCTTGAGCTTTCACATGATTAAGCATTCCAGATATTGCCAAAGTGAACGGCAAATTCCTGGATAGTTTTTTCTCAAATACAGCTCCAACTGACCAGTCAGTATTGATTGATGCTCTCATTACCACACCTTCTTCAGGTAATTCAGCCTGAAAAAGTAGGATTAACAATGAGCAGAAAATTTAAAGAACGTTTGTTCTGTAGCCTCAGAAAAAATTCGATTTTTGTTTGTTTACTGAAAACCTGACCGACAACAGGCTTCACAATTATAGCAGTCACAAACAACTTGAATCATTTAAAAAGTTCCCAACTATTACAATATAGTAAAAATATTTTCAACGGAAATTTAAAGAATTCTTAGAGTGTCGACAAACTGACATCCACTTAAAGATGCAGTGAAGTAAGAGTTTCGCATGTCAAATAGATACCTTCAATAGTGAAAAAATAAAAAAAACCCTGCGAAGATTTGATAAATCTACACGACTGGATATCAGTTGAAAATTTAATGAGAACAAAGAAAAACTGATTACCTGATAGCCAATGGTAGTTACTGCTTCTCCAGATCGAGTAGAACTTTCGAATTCGACAGCGCATGAAATATTATCACGCTGCTTGTGGTAGTAACACAGATGTAGGGCATCTAGACTGAACATTCCACTAGCAATGAAATTCTTACCCGTATATCTGGAAATAATATACAATCATTTGGAAAACCCTGTAAGTTTCTCAAAAGCTAAAAAAAATTCAGGGTACTATTAAATATTTTACGAAACTAAGACGGCAATTTTTCGCATTCAATCTCAGCAGTTTACAAGACATTATAACAAATACTTTCAGATGTATAATAAAAGCTATAGACAAATTCATATTTAAATATCAATTTCAGGCCATAAACGTCGACATAAAAAACCAATAAGCAGATGATTCTACCTTGCTTGGTAGTTGATGACTGAAAGCTGCCTTCCAGAAGTCGGAATCCCATAGTGATGAATAAATTCAACACCTAGATCTAGCTTCTTGGTTAAGCGTCGCAAATACTGTGCTACAAAAATTCCCGAATCATGGATTATGTCGATATTTGCACATGTAAGACCTAGAGTTGAGAGGCGTCCACGATATTCAATTCCTCCTTGGGTGGTAGCTAACTTATTCCCTGTAAAATTCAAATGTTCAACGACATTAATTTCCATATAATAAACAAATACTTCGAATATGCCACACAGCTGCAAAATGAATATATATAAAAGAAACGTAAACGAATAAAATTAGCAATCACAGAAAATCTACTGCAAATGTGACACATAAATGCAAAAACCATTAAAATCACTGGTTAATTCATTATAATACCCGCATAACTAACTGATATATAAGTTAAGAACATAATTATTCTTGGCAAATTAAGAATACTTCTTTGGGTTGTAACTAGTAAACTAATACCATCACTCACCCTGTGATTGAGCCTGTATTTTAACCCTCCAGCGATCAGCAAACTGATGTAAAAACGTTGCAGAAGTGTTGCCAGAAATATCAGTATCAGCCAAAAGCACTGGAAAACTTTCCCCTTCTTGTTGTGTTGTTTTTGACCCGACATACGTAGCACCAAAACGGTATCCCGTATTTTGTGGAGATATGCTTAACGTATGAGTAACCTAGAAATACGCCATGCGTTAATATAGCAAACATCAGTTCCTTCAATTTTCCATTTTGAGACAAACATGTCGAAAATGAACCTGAAAATGTGAAGACAATGCTTTGGTGAGCATCATTCTCGCTCCATCAAAGCACATTGGAAATACCTCCCGACATTTCCGATGCAGTTCTTCTAATGATCCAGGATTAGTGCTACTAGTAGCGGGTGTAGTTACTCGAGCAGAATTAATTTTTTCTGAGTTGCTAGCATAATTATTAGTTTGTGTAGATCTTTCAGAAGCATTTGATGATCCTGACGTCGACATATGAATCCTCCTGAACCAACTAATTATAATATTGACAAACTGCACCACTAAACAAATCATAGAAATGTAATAATTGGATTGCGCACGGAAGTAAAGCAAAAAACAAGTGAAAATAACATCAACGATTTTTTGAATACATTTTTCAATGCTGTTAACATCGGAACTTAATGTTAAAAATAATATAGTGGAACACCTGGATTAAAAATAAATTACAGCAAAAAAAAAGTTAACAACAGCCATATACTACTATTTACCTGAATAAAATGAAATATTTCATTCACTAAATACATTTGTAAGAACAAAAATATACTTCTTAGTCAATAAGATTATAAATGTCACAACATACTTCCTTTATAATGATATATCCAAACGATATTTCAAGAGCTTCAGTAGACGCCGAAACCTGCAGAAATCAAATAGTCTTATTTTTACTTTTAATGCATAAAATTCAATACGAAATGAACAAGAACTTAATGACTAAAAATCCAATTAGCAGCGTTGAAAACTGAGAGTTCAAACCCAAATTTGTGTTGCTTACGTCACGTAAAAAATTAGCAGTAAGAAGTAGAAGGAAGTTATAAATAAAAGTTGTTATTCCTAAAAACAGAAAAATACCGACAGTCTAAACACTAACACCATTTCTCATCAGTAATCTTGATGACACACTTGCCTAATTAATCAGTTCATGAATAAGCAACTGCTTTACTTCGGTTTGATTGAAATAGTAGAAGCGATATGCAAATTTTTGTCTCATTTCAAAAAAAGTGTATTCGGAACTTTTATAATGTAATAGTAATTGAATGTGTTTTGGGACAGTTGGCAAATATAATCTCTAAATTAACAGTAATTTTACTTCTGTAAAATTTAGCTATTTGCTGTAAGATGGATTGAAAATTAGAAATCACAAGTGACAATAAATTCTACTCGGTATTCAAATCTAAAACTTTAAATTTATGCATTATAGCAAAAATGTGACTAGTTAGATGATTGCTGACCAAGATCTTTTGCGTCAAATAAACAGTAATATCCATATAATGCTAGTTAAATTGTTTAATGTAAGAATTAGAACGAGTAAAATAGTAAAATTGTTGTTTTCTGGCGGCTGCAAAAATCATGAGGAATAAGTACATATAATACGTATAATCTCATTTTTTAAAGAGTTACAATTGGTAATTTTGTTAAGTTGATAAAAATAAAATGTTTCTTACATTAAACAATATAGACAATGTGTAAATGAGTGCTAGAAGTAATATTAATCTATAAAACCAATAGAGTTCGCTAATATGGAACTTCAGTGAAGCATTATTTTAAGCAAAGATTTTGGTTGTAGCTCAAAAATGATACTTCACATTCAAGTGGGTATTTGATATTTATCTACAGATTACTGCATAATTTTCTTAAAAACAATTTTCTATCAGATCAAAAAATTTTTAGACTGACTGACACAGAATTTATGAAGTAGATTGCTTCAGTAACTTGTTTTACAAAATAAACTATAATCTAGTCTTATCAAATTTTTTTCCTTTAAATTTTATGATTATGAAAACGAAAATTGTAGATTTTACGGCTAAAAATTATAAGCTGAATCGTTAAATAGAAAAACTAATATTAAATAATCTTCACATTTGTATTGCAATACAATTTGCTATTTGCAAATTGATTGTGCCAATAATGCACATACGAAGTTTACGAAACGACCAAAAATAAATCAGTAAAGGTTTGAAACAGAGGAAGTCTCAGACCTGCAATATTTATCGACAAGTTAGAACCAAACAAACAGATGTATTTTTACGATTTCTCTAGAAAGACAATTTAAAAAATTGCCTTATTTAAGATTTGAATGGCACTTTTCACCACATCAATTTATTATAATGATTGAACGTATGAATCCTGACTAAATTTTACATTCCTACAGAATTAATTCATATATATTTGGTTATGTCTTCTTGTTATATTTAATTCATTTCCTTCTCTATCCTTCTACCTAATAGGTGAATAATTTTTATGCATAATTATATCAGTAACAAGATACATACAACTATACTTACAATAAGTTCATCATTATATTTACAATATGTAACTTTAAATAAATTTACATGTTTTCTGTCACTGAGAATTATGATTGTAGGTAGCAAGAAACATATGTCAAAAACAACTTAAATTTTTAAAAAGTTGTTGATTTTTAGCGACCGAATCCCTTGACTCCAATTACAAATTTATCACAAATTCAAATAAGCATTATGAGAACAGCTAATTTTTGCAGATGTTTTGTGACAGCTTAAGAACAGCAGCTTGATTACCATTCTTGAAGTTTTTTGAGCGTAGTGCAGTTTATGTGAATACTAGTTAAATGATAGCAATAAATCACAGTTCGATAACAATTTTATTATTCTTGTTTTCAAAAATACAACACAGTGGAAACTTTAAAAACTAGAGGACACCTGAAATAGCTTCTACTCTTTAATTATTTATCATACAGCTAAAAACAGTCTGGATGTATTTTTTACCTGCAATATTAATAAAATTCAGTTGAATCAAGACTTTTAAATCATACATAGTACGTTTTGATGCAAATTTAAAGATTATTCACATTCACAATGAACACTGAAATGTCAACGCTTTTCTAGCTTGAAAAACAATTGTTAACCTGTTAAGTCTACATTGTCGCCAGATATAGAGCGCTTGTACTCTTCTTTTGCTTTATTCAAATAAAAAGTTGCTTTGACTGGATCATGCTCAACACCATCACCTAGTTTATATATCCTGCAATCGACAGAGTCTACTTAGCACTCAAAAATTCAGGTTTTTAAAAAGACTATGTCACACAATTCAGTTTTCTGCTAAATGTTAAGATGATTCTAAAATTTAAAAAAAAAGTAACTGTTTAAAATTTAGCAGTTGTGTCCAAACTTCAAAGCATGCAACGAGGAAATCAGTTCAAGGTATCAATGTAAAATAACCTAGAAACATTTGCACAGGATTGAAAACAACCAAAATCACAAGCACGGATCCCATATTTGAGAGCTAAATCAATATTGCGCGGAAGATTACCCAAATGAGGATTGCGATACTGAAATCACAGGCGACTGCATTTTATTGATCCTGTGATTAATTCTCGTACTAAGACGATATTTGCATAAATAATTGCTGTAAATAAATTATCGAAAAAAAAGACTGAAACTGATGTTTTCATCGACCATTGAAAACATAAAAGATTTGATGCCTTATTCACTCAAATATCTTCCGAAAAATCCAATTCCCATAATGCTGTTTGCATTCTGTACTTAACCTCAAAGTCTATTGATTCATTCCTTTTTCATGCAAAACGATATGAAAATTACTATTTCACACTTTTCCTACCAAAACTGTCTACACATAATTTTCGGAACGTTAATAAATTGCAAGTGCGTACTTCTGTCTTTTTTACTGACACAAATTTAGCATCTCGTCCAATATACCAAGTGCTCAGTAACCAACAAGCTTTCACATCTTCCAATTCGCATGCTCTGGAATGCTTGAAAATGATTATAATTTTCTTTAAAACTAAAGAATCAGAGTAGCTATTTTTTTCCACAAGCAATTAGCCACGTAAAAACATAGATTCCTCTGGCAGTTTTTTCACATTAATGTAACAGATCCCTCATGATTGAGGTGATAAATATAAAAACAACACCTTTAAATTTTTGTCAAATTTACGAAAGAAGCACCATAAAACTCTGTCTCTTAAATTTCGAACAAAAAGAACTTTTTCATGTACTGTTCTGCCATCTCAGAGTTTGCTTTCCTATCATCTTCACCGTTCCAATGAACTAATGACAAATAGCGACATCCTTCAGCCATATTAGCTTCGCATGATTTCTCTAGTGGTCCAATCATTTTTTTAAGACTGGGTTCACACTCTGAAACGACAAGAAACATGGAATTTTATTTGCCCAGACAAAACTTTTATCTTGCACTTTGAGCAATTAATTCCTTCAGTTTATGACGTACTGTTATACCGATAAATCTTAAACAATGAAACTAACCTTTACCAGTCAGAAGATACATCGCATATTTAAAACAACTTTTTGGAAATGCTCGTTCTTCACAGTTCATCTTGAACATATTGAATGACGCCTTTAAATTTTGTTCAATTGCTTCCATATACTCCCCTAGCATTTGACACATTTCTGGTCGTTTTTCCTGGAAACGGAGTAAACACTATACTGAAAAACACGGTCTACCTTACATATTTGTATGGTCATTTGTAGCTAAAACTTAGAAGTAAACACATACTTCATAACATCCAAATCTGTACTCGATACCGATATTTTTGACGTATTCCCGACGTTCGGCTTGTTCGCGCTCAAGATCTTCACTCAAATTTTCCTCAAACATCTGAGCAAAACAGCGACATATTAAGGAAGCATATAAATTTTACACATCCTGAATCTAAAATCTGACATCGCAGGACCAACCTCCTTAATCCTCAACAAAACATTCCGAGCTGGTCGGACAGTAGGAACTAAACTGTTACCAGATCTGAATAACACGTCTTTAACAAGCTTCGTATCCCGAAAATTTCCACTATTCAGGATAAACAAAACCTATACTCCGGAAATGCTCTTTTATGACAGCACTCAAGTTATGGTGAAAGCCATGCATAACTTCAACAACCCTGGACAATTAACTACCTAACATCAAACACCAATAACTAACACTCTTATTTCCAGCTGACAGTTACGAAATGTTCCTGCTGAAGAACCTGAATTATACAACCATAAATAGCATCAGTCATACTTTCAACAGTCATTGCAGCAACCAACCACTCCCGTTCATTCCGATATACTACTGAGTAAACGAATGAAAAGGACCGTTGGCTTAGAATGTAGAGCTGTCAAAGAAGCACTTTAGGTCACGGCAGAATGCAGCTCTCAATATTTTATGTAATACACATTGACAAAAAGAGACATGCAATCTCTTAACACAATTTATTGAGAAAAAAGATTTATAAATGATTGCAAACTGTAAAAATACAACAAAAAGATAGCATAAAACGTCCGCTTAATTTTTGGATGCTATATTAAAACATCTATCACGACAAGAACAAATTCAGAACTGTTTGTATAGACTTTTTATCAGAATATATTTGGAAGGCCTGAAACAAGGCAAAAGTTTTTAAAAATAACGAGAACGCCATCCAATGATGAAAATATTGATAATGGTGATAACTACGCCACTTATTTGGGAATGCATCTGTTCCTTCAAATAAGCAAGTACACATGCAAACAATACCAAATACATCATCATTGTCACAAATAAAATGAAATCATCATTAACTGGTTTCGTGTTGCGCAGATAAATGGTCCGGGAGCAATTTCAATTCTAGCAACTATTTTGAACAAATGAATAATGATCAGACTCGTTATAATTTACAAAAACTACCCCATTCATGAAATCCCTCTACCCGGAAATAACAAATAGTTAAGAAGCAAAAAATAAAAGCCATAATGAATTAAAGTTCAACCGACGTAATAAGCTTTCTCACCTACACATGTTCAAAGCATTTATTCCTGTCTCAGTTAGTGTCATAAGTCGAATAAATCGGTAAACATATGAGAGAAAGCTTTTTACTGTCCACGACTCTCCTCTCCCTGATGATCCAGTGCATCAAATTCTGCCTAAAATAATAGTTACACATCACTAACTCGACAAGTTTCAGCAAAATCACTCTCAAACAACATTGTATTACAACTTAATAACCATTAAAAATCACAATAAGCACATAAAAATGAACAAAAATAGATTAGCAAATTACTGGAACACAATAAATTTCAAGTTTATTCACCTCTACACAATGCTTGCATCTGATTTTAGAAAATTTGCAGAATTAGAAAAGTTTATACATTTCTCAGATGGTTCTTCAATTTAATCCCACAAGACAAAGACATTGAAGATGGAGAACAAAAAATGAAAAAAAAATTATCCCACCGTAACCTTTTTGATCTCCAACCTTTACAACAAAAAAGATATGTAATACCAATACTAACCGCTGCTTCATCCATACGAGCTAATATATAATTAGCTGCAAGATCTTCATTTTTGTCGCATGCAAAGTAAGCCTCGATAACCAGTTGTTCAGGAAAACCCATAGATTTCAACTGAAAAGAGGGTAATGTGAGATATTAGCATTTATATATCCCGAGCAGACAAAAAATTAAGCCCTCACATAATAGATTCTCACAACTCATGTATTCAAATCACCTTCCATGATCCTTCATTTCAGCAAGAAATTGATACGATGCAACTAAAATAATTTACCCGGTCTATAGCATCCCTTTCCGCATCGGTAACGTGAATGGCAACTTGACGCTGTTCTCCTGATACAGGCAACTGATGTGCTCCACCTCTGCCTCCACCACTAGCACCAGTAGAACCGGTATTCAACATATTAACAAATTCTTCCTGAGAAAAATATTCCCTTTATAAATTCTTGAAAATTAGATAGCACCAACTACACTTCAAGAAACTATGCAAAAAAACATCAAAAAATGCAATTTACGAAGGCTTATTTTTCTAACTGTGGAGATACACTTTATTTTAATGAACATAAAAATCAATGGTGCAAAGACCTTTTCACCATACGGCCATAAACGAACAAAAATGGGAAAGTATCATTGCTTACTTGATTATGCTGTATAGCATCCATAAGCGCTGGGTTTGCCTGCGCTATTTGCTGTATGATTTGAGGAAGAACCGAAGGATTCGCTTGAACCATTTCACGAAGCTGATCGAACTGTGGCATCTGACGTAGGAAATCAAGACCGAGGCCTTCATGCTCCTCCTCTTCATGATCCACAGATTCTCCATGTTCAAAAACAAACGAGATAAGAAAGAATACTAAGTAATTCTATATCATTTTAAAAAAGTAAAAAAAAAAGGAACTAATAGTGAACACGGACTGTAATAATTGAAATTGGCTAACAACCTAACAAACCTATTTCCTCTGGCTCTGGTATACCTGAGCATAAATATTCTACAGCACGGTCTCCATTGAAAAAGGATGCTCGCAGAGCACGAACCACCTAAATCATATTTTAGTAGAACTAATGCCGAGCAAAGACAATACATTTCACAGATGATGAGACATAACCACTAACTTTGTCACGAGGATACCCCATAGCAATGATTGCTTGCACTGTTGCTTCTTGTTCGGATGTCAAACTATCTTAAATGTTTTGCCACTTGAAAAAATAAAGCACAAATGAACAACAATATTGTAACTCAAGACATAATACTAGCTGACCTTTGCTTTGGTAACGTTTAAAATATGTAATATATACGATTACCTGTATTAGGCGGCGTTACTGATTGGCTAATATCTGTTACTACAGATGCCACAGCCGCAGTGTTGGCTGCAGCTGCAGTCGGTACATTCGAAGGTTGAGGAACGGGTAGAACTGGAGAAGTCGTACGTGGTTTTTTCTGAAAGTAGTAGAAATAATAAAAATAAAATGAGACTCAGGCTTTTTATTCCACATTTAATTTAATTATAACACCACGACCAATAGTATTATCTACAAGTTAAGGAAAGCTAACAACCAAAGAAGTTACAATGGAATTTCGAACTACCACTATAAATAACATTACGCAAATTCCATTAAGCCATTTATCACCAAACTGAAAATTGTTTCCACATGTTAGCAATCAGGCAAAAGTACCGTGAGAAATAAAGGGAATACTCACTCTTGTAATCATGATCACAACGAATTTGGACGTATCAATTTTGATTTCCTCAACTGTTTGAGCATCATCAAGAACCTGAAAAGGTCAATCCGCTCCAAAAAAAAAAAATTGCGAAATTTCATCAATAACTTGAAGAAAACAAACTAATAACGCTTAGTTTGGCTTACTTTGCCATTATAAATGAGCTTCTGACAGTCAACAGGAAACTCATCGGCTCCCTTTTCTTTAGCAATTTTTTTCTTCACTTCGCTAATCTGAAATACTGCTTCACGCTTACAATTTTTATGACTTATTCAGTTGTGATGATTTAGTATAAAAAGCACTGCCATGATGCATTTAATATCATTCCAATATTTACTATAATGACCTGATCTTTACAATTTTTATAAACAAATAGTGCAACAACAGCTAACAAGTGATACAGTAACTTACAGTTTGTTCAGGTTCCAAATCAATTTCAAAACTGACTTGTGCGATGGTTTTGAAAGTGACCAACATTGCTGTTTTGAATTTATTCTAAATTTAAACCAAAGAATTATTATGACATAACTGACAAAAACATTCCCTCGTAATAAGCAACGAGCACGCAAGAATGTGCAGCAGACAAAGGGATGGGATGAAACAAGTAGGGATAAAAAGTCAGTATGACCTCTGAAATTGAACAAAGAATAAAACACAAGAGGAAATAGTACTTCCGAGGTATAAGAAAGAGCTCTATCATAGTGAGACAAAAGAGGATATACCACACCCAACGAACGTTAAAGCCATCACAATCCCATCCAAGAACAAGTAGCCAACTAATTACGGCCATCCGCCAAATGAATACTGACTGGTATGAAATTGTTAAATCCATTGAGGAAGAAAACAGCTGTAGGAACGATGATAAGAACTTGAAACGCTTCATGTAGTATTTGATTGCAGAGTTAATTTATTGATTAACTGGGAAAAAAACGTGAATTAGTTTTGTAAGAATTAAATACATTATTTCAAATTACGTACTCAAATTTACCTCATGTAATGGTCCCTTGAAACATTATTAGCATTAATATTCACTTTAATGAGAAGTCTAGAAAATTACTCTAATTCCAAAATATGAATCTTTTGTTTTCAACTTACTCATTATTTACTAAGCATTTTCTAATATGGATGTCAACCTACTGTTCCTTTCGTTTGAAAGAAAAGGATGTAGAAAGAAACAAGAACAAAATTATTTCTGAAAGAAAAACCTCAACCTTTGTACCGCAAAGCAACAATTAGTAATAGAAAAGCAGATTTTTTTTAAAAAATTTCCAGTTTAAATAACCACGCGATATATTTATTTTCTAGTAGTATAAGTAATTTCTAATACACATAGCAACACTCAAGAAAGTAAAAATGCTGGAAAATAACAACGGAATAAGGCCCAAGTTGATTTATCTCTAGAATGCAAGATTAATTCAAAACCATTTCAGTTTGTGAGAAAGTAATGGCAAGAAAAATTATTAGCTAGATACAAAAAAAAAATGAAATAATGCTACAGGAAGTATGCCGTTTCAGAACAATAGCAACATTACGCTAATTTATAAAAAAGTTAATACAGATATGAAGTAGTGAGGAAATAAACAAAACTATTCGAATTTTGCATATACCAAAAAATAATCCATAATTAGATAGTTATGAATTACATCAATAAACATGTACGTACATTTCCAAATTTTCAAAAAAAAATTTTCCAATTTTGAAAAAAATTTAAAAGAAAAGAAAAAATACATAAATGGAAAAAATGATTCTCAAATGGGAAAAAAAAGATGTAAAAAGCACACAGCAATATAAAACCATTTTTGAGCATTTGAAAATTTTTAAAAGCATAATATAACGAAACAAAATGTTTCGTCTAATTTTAGCAGCAAGGTAAAAGAACTATGAGTAATAGCCTGACGAACTACACAGCCACTCTTAGGGATGTGTCTGACTCATACATAGGTTGTGACATGCAATAATAAGTACAGCAAACTCAAGCAGTTTTTACCTTTTTATTCTCATTGTCTAGCTAGTACTTACAGACAGTCAAAAAATCTTCTACACATTCTAAGCTCATAACATCGAGAAAAAAAATATCAGAAATAGTTTTTTCTAGAAAGTATGCAAGTTTAACACATACAAACATTCCAGCCATACTTTTCCTGCATGCTATTTTCTATTGGATATATTATTGACAGGCAATAATTATAAATTAATTTGTATTTTGCAAAGAGGAAAAGACTGAGAGAATTAAAATAATTCAATGTATAATTGTTGCAAAAGAAAATGAGAAAGACAAAAGCGAGCAGTAAGCGGTTGGAATAAAAATAGGGCAAAAAAAAGCAGAAAAAAACCAAAAAAAATCAGAAAAAAGCCAAAAAAAAATCAGAAAAAAGCCAAAAAAAATTAGAAAAAAGCAAAAAATGCAAAAAATGAATAAAAGATTTTGGCATGCAAATAAAGCAAAGTATATTATGCTTATCACCATAATCAAATCAATCCAGTGAAGCAGTCATTCGCTTACCTCAGTGCTCTATCTTTCAATTATTTGATTTGTAAGCAAATTGTTAAAAGTTTTTAGCTTTAATACAAAAAAATTATAATTTAGCTTTAGCAAAATAGATAGATACAAATTTATTTTGTTTTGAAATTTACGCTGGCTAGCTTGTAAAAATTTTCTTCCATTGTCTTTTGAGCTGTATGCTGTGTTGATCAGATGACTCATAAAATATTTCACAAATTATTAATAACACTAAGTTATATATAGATCAATGGCAGATTTGTCATATATTTCAAGAAATGCAATCGATATTGGAATGCTGACGAAATTTTATTACCAATTAAGTGATGCATCCAAAAAATTGCAACAAATGACGACACAACTGAATACCAGAAATAAACCATTTAGTTCAGTTCAATAATACTAAATCATTAATTTTACTAAATTGAGACTATATTTTAAGTTAAAACAAATTCAAAAACGAGATTAACACGGTTTTGCTATCTTCTCAGAAGGTATTTTACGTTAGAGTTTTTTTTACTGTTACGTACTAACGTTCCCTGAATCCACTTTTTCAATACTTTAACTTTTAAGTATCAAGTACAGTGTAGTTACTATTACAAAAAAAAATTTTTTTCTAAATGGAATTTTAGGCTATGAGAAAATACTGTAATTCTAGTAGCTTCGAGAAGTTTCTGGGGTCACAGTATTTATTGATATTATAAAAATACTGTAATTCCAGAAACCTCTCGAATTTTTCGCACTGTAATTCTAGTACCTTCTCTACCTTCTCAAATTTACTAGAACTACAGCACACAAAATATACTGTAATTCTAGAAACTTCTCGAAGTCTAAAATTTCATTTTAAAAAAAATTCTGATATCCAATCTTAAGATTGCCTGTTAGATCGAGCTGTTGGTAATAGCAATAAAAATTATGACAGAAATGATGGTGACAACAAAGCTGATTACGACCTACCAATAGTACGATATGAAAAACCACTGCAAAAAAACGCAAAACATGTGATTGACGTTATGAAACGTTTGCATTTCATGACAACTGTTGAAATGCACAGAGAATTAAAGAAAGCACATATTGATTCTAGGTAAAATTTGATATGCTAAAAATACAATTAATCACTCACAATATAAATTTTTACTTAATATCCTACATATCAGATTTATATTTGAAATAGTACAGCAAGTCATAAAATGTAATCTAATAGATGCATATTTGCCGTAACAAAAATTTCACCTTTTAAATAATAAAATTTGAATATAAAACATTTTTCATATGTTACTTATGAAAATTCATGAATCATATCAATAAAACAAATATAAATATTGAATTTTGTGTTAATTATTATTCAGCAACTATGTGATACATACTGTCTAGTCAAATACTTTTTACAAACTAATTATTATACTATTCAGTGGGAATACAACTCAGTTATACAAAAGGCTGAAGAAATACTTCAGAAAAGAGCTTGCAATTATTAGAAGCAATCAATCATTAGCAAACAAAACTCATTTACTTTATAAGTATTTGGTGGTAAGTTATATTCTTTATACTCGACTCATTCATAAGTTTTAGTCATGAAAGCAACAATGTTTTAAGCAGCAAAATTCAACAAGTACGTGTTTTAGTTACTTCAGAAGTATTACAGTTTTTACATGAAAGGATTGTAAAACTGTAATATACTGTAAAATTCATGAGTACTTATAATTATTAGTGATGTATCGATTATTTTCTGAAAAAAAAAATAAACAATCACATTTATAGGTTGTAGATTTTGAATGCACTTGCGATAGTGAGAGCAATAATTATGACCACGAAATTATTGAATTCCCAGCAGTTCTCATCGATGTGCGGAAAAAAAGCATCGTAAATACCTCAGTTTCAATACTAAACGAAGTGAAAATATCAAATTCAAACTTCTAGTGAAGTTGCTAGATATTAATTTCTGTTGACTATAGTACTTAGTTACTCGAAGTAACTTCACTGATTTGTTATCCTTAGTTAATTAATCATATCTCAAGCAGATAGTAAAAATTATTAAGTACCATCAAATCGTACTAATAATTATTTTCTTGTAAATCATGATTTGAAAATATATTACAGGTAGATATTTTTCATTCATATGTACGACCAGTTCATAATCCTCAACTTACTGAATTTTGTTCCAAGTTAACGGGTATCACTCAAGAAATGGTTGACAGTGCACTACCATTTGTTGACGTTCTTGACTCATTCAGAACATGGATGCAAATGTATTGTTTAGGAGAAAGAGAAGCATATTTTGCTTTTGTTACAGATGGGTTCGTTTTGAATAATAATGTAAAATTTTTAAAAAATTTCAATACATCCAGAATTGATCATTTTCTACATCTTAAAACAAACTTTACCAAATCTCTATTACACTCAGTAATCTTTCTCAAACTTATTTTCAATTTTTATTATTGCTATATTTATAGTCCATGGGATATTGCCAAATTCCTTCAAATGCAGTGTATTCAGGTATTTCTCTGTACTTTATCTCGTTCTTACATGTCAGTACTATTTTTAAAAGTTCTGTTGCAAGCCATGTCTAATATGATAGATATATTTTAGAGTCAGTTAGATCCTGTTCCTCATGAATTTCGTGCATACATAAATATACGGAAATCATTTGCGAATAAATATTGTAGAGGTAAGCAATGTGAAAAATTTTTTGGCTACTAACATTACTTTTCTATTCAACTTGAAATTACATTTTGTTGAAATCACAAAGCAATACATTAAAAAATTATAGGTCGTTCCATACCAAAAATTAATCTGACCGGAATGCTAACAGCTCTCAACATGACATTTGAAGGTCGAGAACACTGTGGACTCGATGATTCTAAAAATATCGCAAGGATCGTAATAAAGATGATTATGGACCGGAGTGAAATAAGAGTAAACTTTCTTCGTTACTTCTTTTTCTTGACTACCATGTTCTCTGGACCTTTTTAACTGTCGCTAGAGACTGCGAACACACTCTTTTTCAAAAAGAAACATAAACTAGTTTTTATGGTTAATTTTGTAATTTAAAAAACATAATTAACATTTGTTGACAGATCAATGAAAAACTTGTCCGAGTGAAGGAGAACGAAAAAGTAAGTTCTCACCTTTGCAATACTTTTTGTAACCAACAAGCTTTAGATTATTTCATAGATCACGTATGTTTTGTACACAGCTTGTTGAGGATATCTTATGTCCATCTGATGAATAAAGGGTTGAATAAGTTCTTAGTTAAATAAATCTAGTTCTAAAGTATCGTAGGAAACAATGTTACCACTAGAGATGAGTAGAGAAGATCGAGATCGACTGGCTTGGAAAGACAACCTCCCATATAGGGTGCATCAAATAAGCCGAGAGTCTTTCATCAGCGATGAATATTTAGACTGTGATACATGCGATGAGAATCAGTAATTTAATTCCAATGCTCTTTGAAATTTATTTTTCACTTTATGACCTATGTTGCAAGTTTTTTTGTACGGCAAATATTATATTTTCCGTAATGAAATGTCCATGAAAGCTTGAAAGAGCACCAAAATACGAGCACAATATAAACAATAATATGACAAAAACCAAGGATCAGAAAAATAAATGTGCAGAACCAGTTCTTGGAAAGATACTACAATCAAAACAAAGAACAATATATTTAGAATTGAATGCAAGTAGTGAAAAGCTAGTCTAGATCAAAATTTACTTTTGAAAATCTTTCCAAGTACAAAAAACGTTGCAGTCCAAAATGTACAATCTAAATGCATGTGATATTTGGGACATTGAAATTAAATACCAGTATATTTAAAAAGAGGAAAATCAGAAAAAAAGATAAATTATCAAACATGACAACAGTCTTGGATAATTTAAACTATCTGTTTTCCATCGCTTTTAATAATGAGAGGAAATGTAGGTATGAACTTTTTTGAGGTATTCTATTCTTTATTTTCAGAAACAAAAAACTGTAAAAAGCTAGTCTTGCTAAGCTCCTACCACAACATTTCTTTTGTTTTCTTATATCGTTCAAAGCCTGAAAGAACTTGAAATACAAAAGCAGTTATTCCCTGTAAGCAAACTGCTACACTTAATTAAAGTAGTAATGTCACAATAAGCGACATGCTTGAAAGCATAGTGTGGCCATTAATATCCAAACTGGTAAAAAGATGATGCCATACGATGATTGCACTGCAACCTGACCATCTTCTAAATCCCCGTTTATCTTATAACACAAGAGCGCCTCGAATATTCCAATCATAATAATTCTTAACCAGCTGAATGCATGCCTGCAATTGCAATAATAAATACTTTGAAATTAAATGTTTCAGTTAGTTTATTTAAAGTATTTTTTGATAGACACTGAGTGAATAATATGCTAACAGAATCATGTACAATTTGTCCACATACTTATATAAATCTGCTTGAAAAGGAAAAAGTCTAAATAAGCTGTAAGAACAATTACTTGATAATAGGATCCTTGCACTGCTTTTCTTCCACTACAGCCCGTACCAAAACAATAAATAAAAAATATAAATTAAGTGCGCTTGCTATGAATAGTGGTGTAAACACATGCCAATACGTCAAACTTGAATTAAGTTCGATTTTTATTACCTGCAAATGCCACAGTTTGAAAAAATACAAAAGCAATAAAACACATACAATGGTGCATATCAGCACGAAATTTAATCTAACTAACACTTTTAGTTGCAACAACCAACACTATTATAATTATATGCTAACAGAATCATGTACAATTTTCAGCTTTCTATCTTTGATATAATTCGAGATGTTTTATAGTACAAAAATGTAAGAATTTGATTACTTATTGTGAAAGTAATTCTTGATATTATTATTAAATTTGCACTTTTCTGAGCTAGCAATAAGTGAACAATGAAAATTTAGTAAAACTTACGATAAGAACAGAAAATATAAATAAACCAATGGTATGAAGCCACAGTTCAAAGATAGTAACTCCTGTCCATCGTATACATTCACCAACTGACAGCATATAAAGGATACTAGGAAAGTTTTATATTGCTTCTGTGATGTCACCTGTGGATTAATAATTTTTTTATATCTAAACAATGATATATGTATTAATGATTACAGTAAGCAGGAAGATAATAAAAGTAGGATAACATGCATGATCATATTTCAATCAAACTAACTTTCTGTATAAAATTCAAAATGTTGATGCCAATAAAATTATCATAGAATTATCACCACCAAATTATCATGGAATTATCATGCTTACAAATGCATTATTTGCTATAAATATGGCTTGTAAAAGTATCCGATCAATAATTCTAAATCAAAATATTAAAATTAATCACTGCGAGTAGTAGTGTAAACGGGAAACAATAATAAGCAGAATAATAACAAAATTGTGGTCGGCGTTTAGAAGTTGCGATACGCAACCAGCAGTACTTTACGTTATTAGAACGAAAGCACAGTAGTCAGTCTATCTTTATTAATGTTTAATTAAGTTGAGTTTGCAGGTAGTTTAAATAATTTCATTTATGTAAATAGTACTATCCTTTCTATCTCAGTATTGATTCATTTGGGAAGGACTACTTTATGCATTCTTACACATGCAAATGGTCGAAATTTGTTTTTGCACTCCTGGAATCCGTCAATAATGAATCAGTTCTTGTTTAAGCTTTAATAATACTTTTACTGAGTGAAGTGTTGAAGTATTGTTTGGGTATCATCTCTTGAGGATGCTCCTGCATTGCTTTTTCTTCTTGAAGCACTATTGATTGCTTTCCTTTGTTATTAGCGATATTTGAGGGAATGTAATGCAGAAAACTCACTGCAGTTTTAGCATGTATGTCAGCGATAATAAGAAGCATTTTAATTCTAACATTCGATGGAATTTGACTAAAAGTTGATCAATTGAAATTGATTGTTTTGTGCGTTGTGAATAATTTGTATGCATATATATCTGTACATATATAATGTTTGATATGCGTAATTACAATATTCTTGTGTTGTAGTTGACGGAAACAATGCGAGCACTAGTAGCAGTTAAACGGGTCGTGGATTACAGTGTGAAAATAAGGATCAAACCGGATAAAACAGGAGTGATTAAAGAAAATGTTCAGCATTCGATGAATCCTTTAGATGAAGTTGCTTTAGAAGAAGCCGTTCGGTTGAAGGAAAAGCAGATTGTCAAAGAGGTTTTGGCTGTATCAGTAGGACCAACAAAATCGCAAGTATGTTATTCCTGTATATTAGAAAAAATTGAAGCTCAGAAATAGTTTTCAAGAACGTTTCAAGTATTTTTTCGTTTTTTATGTTAAAATCATGTCATTACTTCGTAAATTATTGATATAATTACATAACAGCTAAAAAAACTTCTGTATATCTACATGATTATTTCAAAAAGGACTACAGTCGTCTTTTAAGAATCTAGCTTTCTAAATGCTACTACCTTCAGGAAACATTGCGTACAGCATTAGCAAAAGGTGCAGATAAAGCTCTACATATTGAAATAGATGAAAACGCGTCTGAAAAAGTCGAACCATTGTTAGTCGCTAAGGTTGATGCGTTTTTGTCTATAATTCTTCAATATAAAGCTAAGTAAATTTTGTAAAAGAACAGTTACAAAAAGAATAAGCTTCTTTTTAGTAAGACTTTTTTTTTTTAATTAACTTAAAGTTGGTTTAGTGATCGAAAAGATTTGGTTAGTACTTCAATAAAGAAAAGAAAGATAAAATATTAATTTTATACGAATACTTTATTTATATCTACATTTGAGATATTGAGAAAAATAGTGGAAGAGAAGAAACCGGATTTAGTATTTCTTGGTAAGCAAGCAATTGATGATGATTATGGACAGACAGCACAATTACTTGCTGGCTTGCTAAATTGGCCGCAAGCAATGTATGCGAGCAAAGTTGAGCAAGAAAGTGATAAAACATTTGTCGTGACACGGTGCGAAGAATACTTACCTTCTTGTCTTAGTTTTTTCAAATATCATTGTTTAATATCTTTTTCATGTGGTTTTTTAAACGGAGATTTAACTTTCCCACTTTGATAATCCTTTAAATCAGTTCTACAATGTGCTACAGTAGAATACTATAAGAAGTTGAAGTATTTGCTTAATTTATATGACAGAAAGGTTTGCCAAAAAAGTCTGTTGTAGACATGGAATTCCGATTAAAAATGATTTATCTAGGAATAAAGAGTCAAACATGGCCGAGCAACACATACGACGTGTTCGATGAGTTCTTTGTTAATGAAATTTAAAGTTTTGATTAAAGGGAAGTAGATGGTGGTCGAGAATCGATAAGAGTCAAAACACCAGTCGTGATCAGTGTTGATTTGAAGTTGAATGAGCCTAGATATGCCACGCTACCGAACATCATGAAAGCTAAGAAGAAGCCTTTGGAGAAAAAGATACCTTCCGATTACGGCATTACTGTTGCTCATCAAACACAGATTCTTGAGGTCTTTCGATTTCTCTTTTCATCCAAAGCTTTTTGTTTTGTATCTGAGTTTTGACTTGGAGAATCACATTTGTACTTTAGGGCTTTATGTAAGCAACTAGACTTTCTTTTACGATCGACCGAAGTCAACAGAAGTACAAATGTGGTGCACATTTGTACTTCTGTTGACTTCGGTACCTTTTAAATAATAATTCCTCTAAGAATCCTTATTTCAGGAAGTTCAACTATTAGTTTTCTGTATTAAAGATATGTAATGAGTGTTTGCAGTAATAATTTTTTCCCCCGCAACATGTCGAATCGTTTTGCATACACAGTGATCGTTAATTCAACATAGTCAATTAAATTATTTCCTTTTAAGGTTACAAACCCACCAGCTCGAAAACCAGGTTTCTTTGTTGATGATGTACCGTCATTAATTGCGAAACTGAAGGAGATGAGTGTTTTGTGATTTCTAAATCGATGCATTTTGTTCGAATCGACCCAAATTTTGCATACTTCTTCGGAATAAATTTTGATAGGATCATTATGAGGTATGGACATTGCAAATTTGAAATTAGACTACTGTATAGTGATCTCCTATTTCGTGGCTCAACATCGAAAGAAGCCTTGCGTTGATTTTATGTAAAAGATGCTCCTGCTCTGTTCATAATTTAAACAATGATTCCGACTTTAGAAGAGTTTGTAATTGATATTATCTGTGCAAATATACATTTGGTTGTAATGTTTGGTTTAAGTTGTTCATGAACATGCTTATGGTAAGCACTGATTGCTTACATTGCCTGTTGTGTTCTGATAGATTTGGACTGATATTATCTCTAATGAGTTGCGTGATCTATGAAGGTGTTCATCTCCATATTAGTTTTTATAACTGTCTCTCGGACTATGCAGATTCTTTTACTACAAAGAGATATGCTTACAAATATAAAAATAAATACGAAGTCGGATGGAGATCATCAAAGTTAAGATTATTTGCGACTTAAATTTCAGTCAGTCATATCGTCAGTTAGGGAAAGATGGGATGAGTGTTAACACAATGGACACTCATCCCATCTTTACAGGATGCTGACTTATAAGTGTCTATGTCAGTGATAGTTCTGTTTCATATGTGATTCATGAGTTGACGTATTCTGACAGCGAATCATCGGAGTGCTCATTTTTTCATGTCTGCAGCTTGTTTATAGTGTAAATGCGTAAAGAACATTAACTTCTTTAGCTATATTGTATGCATGAACATACAACAATTAAAACATATTTAGTTCCTCCACAGCTGTAATTCGAAATTCGCAAATCATGGTGTTTCAAGAAATGATATATCACTGATTGTAAGTATTATGGACGTAATTTTTTTTCTCAGTGTTTAGCGTTTGTATTGTGTATCTAATTCTCGTAATTTATCGACTATGGATTATGAATCCAATATAATGATAGAGCAAAGTGATTGGAAGAGGAGTATTGGTTTGCATAGTTATAAATGATACAATTATGTTTAGATCGTGAAAGAATATAAGTGCTCCTGTGAGTTACTGCTAGAGATTGCATAGGAACCTAAAAAGTGCCCGTAACAAATGAGGATGAGAGAGATAGAGCAGCAGTAGAGAAAAAGGGCATTTCTAATTATGGAAGGTGAGATTTAATGTTTGCATATTACTCTGATCACTAGATGATATTTTCTTAAAGTGGAGGGAATCTTGCGATTTTAATTCATTGGAACTGATTAGTTTAATACTATATCTGCAACTGTCATGTAAATGAGATTGAAGTGGCTGCAATCATTTATGTACGAGAATCTTAAAGTAAGATCAAATTCTATTCATCAACAGTCTTGATAGCTTACGTATTTCAAATTGTACAAAATGTTTAATCATTTAAGTAAATGAAACTATTAATAACTTGAGTAATACTGGCCTATGTAGCGATCAAAATTGTCAGAAAGGAAGTTCACTTATTTGTGTAAAGGTTAAATGCAGCAATGAAAGACTTCTAAAGTTCAGACGTGATTTTAAGGTAATACGTGTGACTTGTAAATAATAAAACAAATTGAATTAGTAAACGATGGAGGAAACTACTTCGAAAATTTTTTCCTATATTTGTTCTCTATTTACAACTACTTGTATTGGTGGTTACATTTATAGTGCTGAAATGCGCATCAAACGAATTGAAATAGATGGTTTTAAGTCCTATGCTCAACGTCAAGTCATTGATGGCTTTGATGCTCAGTTTAATGCCATCACAGGTTTGAATGGTTCCGGTAAATCGAATATACTGGATGCTATATGCTTCGTTTTAGGAATTTCAAATTTAAGTCAGGTAGTGAAATCTTCAGTTATTAGTGTGAAGTGAGTGTAACTATTATATTTGAAGTTTAATTGATGTATTCCATAAACGTGTGGAAAATTAACACAAAAAGCGTTGTTTTAAAGTCATGTGTATGATTATAAAATAGCATGTTTAGTTATAGTCAGAGTTTGATGCTGTTGTAGGTTCGTGCTACTCAACTTTCGGACCTTGTTTATAAGCAAGGTCAAGCTGGCATCAGCAAAGCTACAGTATCAATAACGTTTGACAATACCGACATATCGCTTTGTCCTGTTGGCTTTGAGAAATATGATGAGATTATTGTCAGGAGACAGGTATCATTTAAACAGTATTTTTGATTGGTTTTCATTTGATGGCAGTTTTTTTGACTTTTCCATCTTTTAAGCAGGGAACGAAAGAATGTTTTTTTTACATAGTAAATTTGGCTCTATTATACTGACTTCATTAAACATCTTTTGTGTGGGAAGAGTTCTCTTCTCCATTACGTCACGCTTTCTTTCCCTTTACGTTATTTTTTGTTCAAAGAGATTATTATAGATAGTGATAAGTGGTCGTAACACATACAGTATCAATGGAACAGCAGCGACAAACAGTCGAGTTGCGGACCTGTTTCGAGCAGTTGGATTGAATGTAAACAATCCGCATTTTTTAATTATGCAAGGGCGTATTACAAAAGTCCTTAATATGAAACCAATGGAGGTTTGTCAAGTTTTTCTGCAGCTTAAGAGATCCTAAATCCTTATTGTACACACTCGGAAAATATTGGAGCTAGCGTATGTCTAGAAAATGTTTTTTCACTTATATTTGAAAAAAAAAGCATAAAGAAAAGTAAGTAAACTGTTTAATGTAGTTAAGATAAGAATTAAATGTTATTATGCAATCATACAATTCGATCTTTAATCAGTAGTTTGAGTTGATGGAAACATAGATTTGTAAGTTCAAATGCTCCTTTATATCAGCATTAATATCTAGATTGTTGGTATGATTGAGGAAGCCGCAGGAACACGCATGTACGAAGCTAAGAAACAAAATGCTATACGCACAATCGAGAAAAAGGAGGGTAAAATGGCAGAAATCAAACAGGTATTTTAATGTTATTGCGGACATCTTGATTTTTCCGCTCAGGAATTTTTAATATTGCTAACTGACTGTATTTAAAACTGTGATGGAAGTAGGAATTCTTAATAAGGGACGAAGTTTTCATATCTGTACTCCGTAATTACAGAAGTGTACTTGCAAAATCATACTTTTCAGTTAATGGAAGATGATATACTTCCTCAAGTAGATAGATTAAAACGAGACCGCAGCAACTTCCTCGAGTATCAGAGACTAGGTCGGGAGATGGAAGCACTTCAGAGAAAGCTTATTGCTTTTGATTTCGTGAGCTCAACGGTCTCGTTTTTATTTTGTTTGCAGTAAAGTTCTAACTGTATTCAAATTCTTTATGACCTAAAAATTAAGGAAACTTCCATGTCGTATATTTTTCGATAATATTTTGCTTACAAAGGCTTGAATAACTATGTTGTAATTTTTGTGTCATCTCTTTTCATCTTCAGACCCATTGTTCTATATTACAAAATAACGTAACCAATATAAAAAACGAAATTCACGAAATAGACAAAGTCATTTATGATACAAAAGAAGAGATAGATCGAAAGCAGATTCGTCTCCAGGAAATCGAGGAAAATAAAAAGAATGTAAGAGTATTTTCTGTAATATGGATTTCTGCTAAGGTTTTGCAACGGGAAATTACTTTTGTAAAGTTCCGTTCGAAGTTGTATTCAATTATAGAATTCTTTTTGTCTTGTCAAACATATGCAGCATTCATGTTGGTTTTTGACTGGAGGTTTTTTATTAAATAATTCCATTCAAAAACTTATTAGCAACGGTAGTCAAAGTTCTTTTTGCAGAAGTATGAACAACAAAAAAAGGAAATTGAAAATCGTATCAAAATGACATTAACAGCACTGACGTCCGCAGAAGAAGATCTTGATGCAATACAAGATAAAAAAAGTGGAGCCCAAACTACTGTAAAGCGGATGACGAAAAGTATTCAGTCGGTTGGTGTAGCGGTTAACTTCATATTTTTCATTCTCGTTAACTCGTTCCTCATCAGTGATTATTGTTATTAATCTTATTACCAGTAAAACTTGATATACACTTTAATCATACTAGCTGTGGTTGACTATTAATTCTACCTTTTCAGCGGGGAATATTTCTCTATTAAAATTAATACCATACTTCTACAGGATAAAACTGAGCTAGAAAAAAAGTGCCAAGAATTGAAGAAACTGGAAGGGGAAATTGGCGGTGAAGAACTGCGTGGTAAAAAAGCTGAGGAATCAGTCAGGCGTGCTCGAAATAAAATGGAGGCATTAGCGAAAGGGATGACTACTGATGAAGATGGTCACGTAATTTCTCTAGATGCTGAACTAACAGGTTCGTCACATTTTTCCACGGCCGAAAATTTTTAAGAAAAATGTGTGTGTAGTAAATACATTTGTTTCATTCCTCCTCATCTTATTAACAAGATAGCTGGTTGTTTGTATGTGCATAGATTCTTGATTTGTATTAAAAGTATTGATTTGCCTCGTCAGTGTTTCAAAAATAGTGATTTTTTACTGGAGTTGCCTTTCATGCAGACTTTTATCTTTAGGTTCGCTTAGCTTTTCCAAAAAGCTCGTAACCTCGTAAATCACTACTACTGTTCATTCTTTACTGAGTTTTATTTTTTGCAGCTCAACGTAGTGCTCTAAGTGCTCTAGAGACCAAAATTAAAACAGCCCAAATGAGGTTTGTTGTCATGTACTCCAATACTGCAGTTTCATGCAAATTAAAAAAATGAGTTTGAAGGTAGGGATAAAGTACGAGTAAATAAATTGTCGTTGATATCATTCCAAGTATTGGCTTCTGCTTTAAGAAAAAGCAGTTTTTTATAAATGGAATGTTTCATCTTCATAAATAAGGAAGACTAGTCCAAGCATGAGAATTCATATGCAAAATATTAAGCCTCTCATTTACCAGAAAATATTATCAGATTGAGGCAGTTAGAGCCGTCACTTGCGAGAAAGCAAACTGAATTGAGTAAATCTCTTGATCAAGCTGGTGTCGACGAACAAGAGCAAGCCAGTTTAGAACAGAAAATTAAATGCATAGAAGTAAATCGTTCTAAGTTTTAAATATTTGTATATTGCACAACAAAATAAAGCAATTTTAAATGGTATTACTAATAATGCATTTCCCTATGACAAAACTGTGGTGTTATTTTCTGGATCATCGAAATACATGTGGTGAATTGTGAACTCTGTCTGTTGAGCAAGAGATTTTATGTTTGCAATCTTCTATTTGTAATTTGATCTTATCTTCTGTATGTTAGTTTATTATAGTTGAGTTACTCAAGTTTAACTAAGAATTCCATTTTTTTCTTCTATTTAATTTTCAGGCAAAATTAATGAAGCTTAATTTTGATGAAGGAAGAGAAGCGCAGATTACCAGTGAACGTGAAAATCTTTCCGAAGAACGTAGAAATTTATCTGATACTGTGATGGATTTCGATGCTCGGTATTAGCGTTTATAGAATTTTCATGGTTGGGAGATTTCATGTTTCAGTCAAAATTTACGTTAGAGATATCACACATCTATCTCAATTTTGTTTTTGCTTCCAAATAATTCCTCTTTTCTTAAGTATCGAAATTTTTTTTATTTTATTGAAATCATCATTCCAAATAGGCATCCAAATTTAAAATTCGAGTATTCGAGTCCATTTCCAAATTTTGACCGCTGTTCTGTATTTGGAGTTGTTGCGAGACTATTTCGAATACGTGATTTCCGATTTGCAACAGCTTTGGAAGTTGCTGCAGGCAGATCGGTAAGTTTTATTCTTTGTTTCGAATGTTATTAATGATTTTTGTCATTTATTGGAGTTGAATTCCTAGTTTTATTGATTTTCTGACATATCCTCTCTTTCTTTTACTGTTAGATTTAAAATTAATTCCAGATTCAATTCTTAAGATTTTCAAATTAATGGACTTGTATAGAGTTGTTAACATTCACTGTAAAATACCGATACAATTGTTCATTTTTACTAAATCATGTAAAAGTAACGGATTTCATTTTTTCACATATGTAAGCATGAATGGATTGTATTTATCTCTGAAGAAAAAAACATAAATTTGAAAATTGAATATAGTTAAGGAAAAATGTATCCGTTTCTAGAATATCATAAATGAAAGAATTTTATCAAAGGGGTAGACTTGATTTCACTGATGCTAATGGTGAAATGCCACTGGGACAGATTGCTTTCTTGAAGAATATATATTCTGTATAATTAGCCCATCGTTGTTCTTCAAGATCACCAGTGTTTCTTTGATTTATTAATTCCTGTAAGAAGTAAATTAAAGTCTTTGTTTGTTCTTTTGATTGGAAATAACTTTCAGATATATCAAAGTGCATTTTTCCGTTCGGCTAGATTTTTCCAGAAAATTATGATTTTTTCCTTTAAATGTTCATAATATTATACAAAAACTTGAAATGATCTACTTGTTGTAGGGTTCCTCCTTGATTACTAATATTGTAAGTATTAGCAACAAATCCATTTGCACCATTACAGCGTGTTGCGACTAGTTTAAAACCTTTTTCAGCCAATATATCGCAAGCCTTTAGACAAAAAAAAGTTGCCGTGATAAATATTTCATATTATTTATTGTAAAAACAAAAACTGTGAATATTAAATTGTTTTGAAATTAGTATCCATTTTAAAGACATTTCAGAAAAACAGCTCATGAATGCATAATGTCAACTTTCGAGCTTTATTATGCTCAAAACTTAAAGTTTGTATTATACATCCATGAGCTAGATATTTTTTTCCTTTACATGTTGGGAAAAGGCAAATGTAAAATGATTTTTCTGTATTTTGAGTCGCATTTTTTTAATTAAATAAATAAATTAGGATTTAAAGAAAAAGACATATCCGGGCACACTATCTTCATGATCTTTCTTGTTTAATTTTATAGAGTAAAAAATATCTCTTTCGTAATGAACAAAATCTTGTGGGTCATTAATTTTCTAGAACAATGATTTCAGGTAGTCATAATAGTAAATGAGACCTTTTCCAAACATTGGTGCTTGAGATAAAGCCTAGATGTGTAACATTCTTGACCGTCACGGTCTGGGTCTCGACTTTCGTTTAATGTATTACCGAATACTTCACGGCATAAGGCTGCCTTACCACAAACTAATATGCGATGTAATTTACGAAATTTGACCTCTGCCTGTCCATCACGACCAAATGCAAGTGTACCGCGAAAACCAATAGTGATGTAACCTCCTGCAATATTACTTTCTTGCATTTTTCCAAAAATAATGTGTATTTGAATCAAACTGCTTTGATGCTATGATTTGTATAGGTTTTACTCATTCCTTTTTTTGCTGAAATTATAGATCAGATCATACTTGCGCGAAAGTTTAATTTAGAACTTTTGAGTACTTTCAACATTGATTTAATAATTCTAGCTAGTTAACATCTAAGTCACTCTTACCTTATTGTTAAAATTGTCATATCTGCTTTGCAGTTCACCACATCTCAAAACTTTAAAATAAAGAGGAAATGTAAGATGAAGATCATTTTATACATTCTGTTTTATTCTTACTCTGTTCCTTCATTCAATGATTTACACTCCGTTTACCAATGGCGAGTGTAATAGTTATTGGAACCGCATCAGTTTACTAATGAAAATACATTATACAAACACTGCAAAAAGTAAATGTGTAATGTTTGTGAATAAAGAAGCATAAATAGCAGTGCTCCTTTGTCCAATACTTCATTTTCTTGCTATTTTTGGCTCTATTTTTAATTTAATACTCATTCGATTGCTATTATTCATTTTGAATAATCAACTCTCTGTTGCTAATAATTGTGAAAGTGATGGAAATATTATCTGTCATAAGTTATGAAGACAAGCATTTTTAAAATCTTTCTGAAATTTACTTCTAGTTTCTAGTATATATATTCACTACAGGGTTATAAAAATATTCACTACAAAGTTATAAAATTTCAGTGAAACAGAACAACCAAATTGTGCAGACGTGATATGAAGTTTGTTCAAATATTAAACATTTAAAATTAATTATGAATGATTATTTTCACTTCTAATTTTGCTGAGAAAAGGAAGAACATTCAAGAACTTGTTTCATGCGTATGGCTTATCAAAATATAGTTAGTAATAAGATAAACTCAAAGATAGCTAGAAAAAAAAAATGTTATCAGTGTGTATATAAAACAGTGTGGATAGTTCAAAAATGTATCGAAGGATGAGACTGTAGAAGGTTAGAAGAGAGACGATTTTTTTAAACGCATATGTATGATGTGTATGGTTCAGTTCTCGAGTTGTGACTGAAAGAAAAGAAATTTTGGAAAACGATTAGAAAATAATTTCCTCTACGAGTCATACAAAAATTGACTTGTGATGGATTTTTTGTAGTAGAGTACTCATGCAAATAATTATCGTGTATAGTCCCTACTGGTTTTTCTTCGTTTGCCAAGTGAGTGTTGCTCTAAAATTATACTTGCAAACAAAATATTTTCTCTGTAAGTGAAATTAAGTGAAGAAATGAGACAGAACTGCTTTTTGGTGATTAAGTTCATGTGAAAAATTATCTTAGTCTTTTATTTTTAAGATATGTTAAATTTTTCAATTGATTGAAAGTTTTTTAAACTTGCATGTGACTTAAAATATGTAATGTTAAAGAACAGTAAGTATGGGGATCGACGAAGCTAAAGTTTTGTGCAATATAATTTGAAAGCTATTTTTATTACTAGCTTTATTTGTTATTATATTGCTAAAACCTAGGTTAACTTTTTAAAACCATAAAAGGAATTATGTAATATTTCTAGCTTCTCAATTGCATTCTTGGAAAGATTGACCCATCACTTCACTTTCGCACAAATGAACATATGAAACATGTTTGCGAAGCATACTTTTTCCATTATTTTGCTACAGTATTCCCTTCATGTTTCAATATTTGATATATGATTGCAATATGTAAAGAAGCTGATTGTGTATCATTGCATGCAATCAGTTTAAGAATTAAGCAACTATAAGGAGTGAGGTTGTGAAGTTCTGTGTTAAGGTAGTTGAAATGTAATTTAAGCATGCTATTAATTTTACCTGTTTCGATAATATTCCCGGCTCTTTCCTCGGTTAATGAAATATATTTCGCAGTACTAAGAGCGATAATTTGTTCCTCCAGCCTGCTTAATCGGTAGAATTTTGCTTCTTCATGTAGTCTGTTGTAGTCTTGGAAGTTCTGTGGAAGAATCAGTTTGCTTAACCGTAAATACTCCAAAATATGTGTGAACAGTGAGCCATCTCGATCAATAAATATAGTGCCGTCAGATAGAAAAATTACCATTTTTTCCAGTCCATTCGTTTGAGAATGAAGTAATTGAGGAAAGATTGAATTTTCTTCTCGTAGTAAAGTATGTGCAGTAGTTGAAAATAAGCTACCGCCAACATTCAAGCGGACAACTGTAGTTTCTCTTGAACTGTTTGAGTTGCTTGTAGTCATGCCAGTGCTTTTGTTGGAATGTTGTAGTCACAAGGCAAGAAATGAAGCCTTCTGGTGATGCAGTAATGGTGCTGATTGAAGTATGCAGAAGTTATAAAACTGAGATTTTGGATGCAAATGGAGTGAGTGCAAAAAATTTCACTCTAAATACATATTGGTTCATCTGATAGTTAGGAAATCATTTGCAGATGAGCCGATAAATTATTTCATATAGGTTGTGATATTTTGCAGACTGAAGAGGAAGAAGTTAGTTTGATGGAGGAGAGAAAGGAAAGAGGAAGTTTTTGAAATAGGATTGGTGGGATGTGATCACTCAGATTTGAGCAACAGAGCTGTAAGTGAAGGGGTAGTGTTGCAGTTCAGCGTCAGACTAACGTATATTAGAATATTTAGTTATTATTCGAGCAATAACAGTGAACTTCGATCTGTCTATTTTTAATGGAGTCAATTTTCGTTTATTAGTTATCAAAACGTGGCATTTGATGTTAAGGAGCAGGAGTAGCTGAATGTCAAATATCTTTATTTCTGAAACCAATTTTGTATCTCTACGCATGTGTATATAAAAGTATGCAATGATCATCATCTATTAAGTGTTAATTAAACTGGAAACATGACTAGCTAAATAGAAAAAAGTATTAGAAAATAATCATTTTTGCTTTCGTTAATGAATTCTTGACTGCACAAAGTAATGATGCGAATGTGACTGACTGACATAAAGGATAATTTTTGAGAAGCTCAGAATCATTTCTTTTTTAGGTGTCAACAACAAGATAAGAATGAATAATAAAGATTATCGCATACTTAGAATTCATCAGCACTGTAGTGTTTTCAGTTAGTTAGCAGAGCTGAGCACGATCACCACTGTTCACGATCGCCACTGTTCCTTTATGAATAATATGCAGCAATTTGCAATTTGTTCTATTACATTTCTCACCGCTGAAAAACTGAGGGAAAGCCTCTCGTAGCCTTATTTAGAAATTAATCGCAAAGCAATTGATGGTGGTCAATTTCTAATTGATTGATTGTTCAGCTTCCGTTGCAACGAGGTGCTGTCAAGACAACGAATCTGAACGCAGCACAAGTACAGCCAGAGTGCCGGATACGATCAAACGCAAGATTCAGTAAAGCGAAAAGTATATATTATATGTATTACATATGATATTTAGGCTTATACCTTAACATTTTCATCTCAAGTAATGAAGTTTGAGACGTGAATGGATATTTTCACTCTGTCATTACGATTAAAATAGGCTTTCTAAGACTGCACATAGAACAAAATCCTTTTCCGGTTTATTTTAATCAGTTGTCAACCACTCTTGTGAAAAATCTGCAGGAAATGTTTCATATATTATAGTCGACCGTTGACGCATGTTCATTGAAAGATGAATCTGTGCTATGCAACATTATTTTTATTCTTTGAATGCATTCAAAAGTAAAGGCACAATGTCACAGCAAGTAGTTAAAATTCTTCAGTCACAATCAATTCGTTAACGTGTTGTGATTGCATTTTTATCATGTTTTTCCATCTTTGCAGTAACAGTCTCGATGATTAAATCGCTTTATATTGAAAGTATTATTACAGGAGCTAATGAATCGGTCATCTATTCATCCTATAGCTTTGCATACTTCTTTAACAAGTTTCATATATATAATAACCATCTGTTTCCTTCTCCTTTATCGTATGAGTTACTTTGGAACAAGTCCATCAATATAACATATTTCTTTTTTATAGAATATACTTTAACATCAAAGAAATGACTAGGTCAGTAGTACTGTATATTCCTTGTATTCTTTCAATCATGTTTGATTATTCTTACTTGTAACAGTTATTCAAGCAACTTATCTATTTCTGTAACTTATTTTAAATGATGTAGAAACAAAACACAGTAAAATTCACATTATAGATGATTATATTCTTGAGAAAATCAAACTAGACATATCCATTAATTTGTTAAAACTGAAATGTATTGAAGCTTCTGAACTATCAAGTCTTTAAACTACGTCCGTTCTTTAAACGGATGACTGGATTCTTCACAGAAGTGTCATACTTTAGTTTTAATTGCATACTTCAATTTCTTTTAAATCATTTGATTAGTATTTTCGTATCTGGTTTTTAGATTTTACTGATAAGTCGTTGAAGCTAAGTGCAATTTTAATACTCTCAGGTGATCATATAGTTTATCTTTTTCGTAGCGAATTTTTTGTGAATTTAAAAAAACATACAAAAATCTCAGTTTTTCCACTCGATACTGGTTAAATTGTTCGACTTCTTTAGTAGATTATAGTGTTCCTGAGTTTTCTTCAAATGAAATAGTAGGTGCTAAATGTTTATTTCCTCTATTCAAAATTTGCTTGTTGAAAATTTGGTTGTTAAGAGTTGAAGGTATAGACAGGAAAACTATAGTGGTTAAACACACAAGATCATGAAATTTGTGCTTATATTTTTCAATATTTCTTCGCTTCACGTAATAAATGCACATTCAGTTTTTGACCACCTTTAGCAGAAAATTTGTATTATTTTTCCATAGCTTTAATGTGCATAAAATTGTTTGAAACGTCTATCACATTTAACTGTAATCTGATTTGAAGTATCATTAATTTTTTATCTCATAGTTATTGATTCTCGTTTTTTCAGCTTTATAATGTTGTGACACGAAATTCTAAAGTTGGCAGTGATTTGTTAAGAGGAAGATTGTCGCATCGAATAACTATTTTACCGCTTGACAAAATCCATGGGCGGCTTCTCGATCAAAGTAAATTGCAACGAGCACGAGAATTAGTAAGTTTCATTTTTGTTTTTGAATTAAAAAACATTAGAATAGCCTACTTCTTAGTTCTCGAATCAGTTGGCGTAAATGTGTTTTGTAATTATAATGCTGATACTTTTTCACAAATAAATGAATGTTTTGAGTATCTACCCTTTTAGCGATTTATTGTTTGATGTAAATTACTGATTTGAATACTTTTGTTAACTGCTGAAAAGCTAGTTTTCCCTCTTTTTCAACAGTTCATAGAAGTAAGCTCGTAAGAAAATGGAAAATTTTGAAAAAATAGCGAAACCTTGCATGAATTGAATTGAATTTAACTTGCAAAAAATTTTCTTTTTTGTGTGAAAAGAGCTAATACATTTTTGTTATATGCATTGAGTACTTCCAAATTCATGGTTTTCACCATGGAATTTAGATTATAAAAATGCATTCTATAGCGTTTATAATGTTATCCTTGCAGGTGGGCAAAGAGAATGTATTTATAGCAAAAGATTTGATTGAGTATTCTAAAGAACTAGAACCTGCTATGCGTCATGTATTCGGTGGCGTATTCATTTGTACGAGTGATGATTATGCTAAAAAGGTTAGGATTATTTACATTGTTTCAATAAGCTTAAAATTCAGAAGGGTCATACTATCTGCCTTCAGGAAATATTTACGTAATGGCTTATCGTTTCAGCAATTCTTACATTCATAATAAATTTACGAGTTGTCACAAATATGAAGCATAAGTAATAGTGAGACTAATTAATCATTGGAAACTTCTGAAGATTTTAGTTTCATTCCATTTGGGCATGTTTCGGCTTTCAGAATTTCACTGCAAAATTTGATATTTTATATAAGAGTCAGTGGATTTTGTAAGGCTCGTTTTTTTCTTTAGTACAAGTAATTATATGAAATATTTGTCAGTAAAAAAATAGATAATTTACAAAACTGATACTAACTAAATGTTAATGACTTTCATCTATTGCAGCCCCAGTCCTAATCTGGTTACTCTAGTTTTTGTATGTACTGATTTCTGATTTGTAGTGGAGTTAAGAAAGCTTTTGAAGACACTTGGGATATTTCTTTTTTATTATTATTACTTATTTTTTTAGAGTCATAAGAGAAAAACTGAAGTAATTTTCCTAAGATATTCGAAATCATCTTTTTTTTCCTTTTAATTCACTGATGAGAGGAATAATTTCATGTTTTTATTTGTTGATTCAGGTGATAGCAACTGGTTAACTCGATCTTAATTATGTATATATCTATTACATTATCACTCATTAAATGTGATTCATTAGATTATTTTCATTTTCACAGAAATAAAATTACCAAAGAAATTATGTTTTTTTATTGGAAAAATGTATACTGTTACCAGGTGACATTTGATCCACAAATTTATACACGTTCAATATCTGTGAGTGGTTGCGATTTCAATCCTAGTGGTGTACTGACAGGAGGTTATAATTATGATATTTTTTTCATTTATAATCACTTATTTGCATGATTTTTTTGTTTTTAGGTTGTGTTAATTTAAAAATTCTTAGCGTCTTTCAAACGAATTTATTTTTGTTTTTTATTATATGAGTTTAGGCATGATATTTTAGGATCACGCGGTGGAAACAAAGCTCTTCTAACGTCCTTGGATATCGCAGTGAAAAATAGCCAACGTATGGCTGAAATCGATCAGCGTGTGCATGACTTAGAAGGTATATATTTTTTCTGGCTAATAATTGGTTCAACATCTAGCGTATTTAAAAAATGATATAACCGTAACAAAATCCTGTGAAACGTTTCACATCAATCACTAGCATTTACATATGATATTTCATGTGGATTAAATTTTTTGTAGAAGAGATGATTAGATTGCAACCAATTTTACGACAACACGCGGAACTTAGTAGAGATCGTGATTATTGTTTGACTAGGCTTCAAGTTATTAAAGACAGTATGAAGCACAGTGCTGCTCACATCTTACGCAGTGAAGTGGAGGAGTTGAAATCGGTATATTTTACCTCTGCTTATTTAGTAAAATGAAAAAACTACTGTAATAATTTAAAACAATTTCAACTTATAATAGTCATGTGTTGATGACATACTTAAATACTGGAAAAGGTCTGCTCTTTTATTAGTTAACGTCGACATTTTTATTATCTTTTATTCTGATTGCTATCATTCTTAGTGAACTCGTCGTCAAACAGTTTTACGGTAATTAGTTCGATTTATTGATGAGAAATGGTGTTTCTGAAATTGTTTCTCACTTTCGAAATTTTAAGGTATTTTTTGTGATTCCACATTGCTAATGAGGAGGTATTGTTGTTAAACAGCTCATACAAAGTTGTCAATTTGAATACAATTCTTTTTTTCAGGAAATTCCAGTGTATCATGAGATAATACAGCAGGGTTCTGAAGAGCAAAAAAAGTTACAAGAAAAGATCGCTGCTTTAGTGGAAAGAAAGAAAAATGAAAAGAAGTTTCGTGTATGTTTTATGTTTTTCCCCTTAAATGATTAAAACTATTTGAAAGAATATTAACTTTTACTGTTATTGTAATTTATTTTTTGTTTAGTTAATTAGCCTTTTATTCATGGCATTCTACTGGTATCTGTATTGGTGATATGCAGGAAAAAGAAAAGAAAGAAGCGGAAAGAAAAGTAGTTGAGGCAGAAAACGAATTGAGAAGTTTGAAAAGTACTTTTGAGAAAGCAAAAGCATTTTTGGGATTATTAAGGTATGTGCTTTATTGTCTCTCACATAGGATATTCTTTACAGTCATTTCTGATCGTCATTTATCACGGAACATTTTTGTAGAGAGGAAATTTCAACTCTGCAAAGAACTATTGATGACGATGAAAAAGAATTGGAATCTTATATTACTGAAACTGAAACATGTGGAAAAAAAGTCCTAGTTTTGGAGGAAGAAGTTACAAGAGCAAAAGTATTTTCAAAATTGCAAATTAACTTAAACGGTTTTTTCTACTAAGCGTCAGAAAGACACTCCGAAATATTTTATATATTAGATTCATAGTATTCAACTGCTCATTACAAGAGTTTAGTGTCTTCCTTAGTATATCAAATTCATGTTATACGATTTATGGTTTTCCGTAACTTTTCAAAATATTTTGAGGACTGAATTATGCATTTTTTTTTTAATTTTTTTAAATATTGATGCTTTAGGCAGCGGCAGATGAAGCAAAAAATGAGCTAAAAACATTTATGGAAAGAATGCGCGAACGAGATGCATATATGCGATCTGTTATAGAAACACTGAATGAATTCAAAAAAAAATTAAAAGAATATGATATAAAGAAAGATCAGCTGCAAAAAGATCTTTTAGATGTGAAGAAAAGCGTGGATGAATGTGCTAGAAGGGTTTGTTTGATCTGATGTCACTTTTGTATATTTCTTCGTTTTTTGTAATTGAGTTTTTCAAACAGCATAACAAGTGCTTTTCACTGTATTTTTATCGCCTTCTCTCAAAATATTGTGATCTAAGATTGCTTATTCATAATAACTCCTGAGTCTTTTTGGTTTAGGTAATATATATTGCTTATTTGTCTTCTTTAATTGTTTTTGATATTTCTGATATCAGTAACTTTTTATTTTGAATTACAGGCAGATAAGTTAGAAGAACAGTATACATGGATTAAAGAAGAGAAGCATCACTTTGGTCAAGAAGGCTCCGCATATGACTTTACTAATTATTCAGTAGAAATGGGTCAGAAAGAATTAGATGAGAAAACAGTTCGAAGGCATTTGCTAGAACGAAGTATTAATGCAAAAGCAATGAATATGTTAGGAACTGCAGAAGAGCAAGTAAGTTTTGACTTATTGTCTCAAATTAATTTAAATAAATTTCGCTGTACTAAGAAAAGTGAGAAGGCTTTATGGTGTTTAGTACATTACTGTTTTTTATAGAGTATTCTAAATATGGAATTTAAAAGTAATTTGGTTGTGCCACAATACATCCACGTGATTTTTTCTTTCTTTTCTGTTTTGAAATAACTCATTAATTTTTATCGTTTTGTAGTGTCGACAGTTAGAAATCAGGATGGAACAACTGATGAATGATAAGGCTAAACTGCTGGATGCAATTATAAAATTAGATATCAAAAAGAAAAATGAAATTGTTTGGGCTCATGAAAGAGTGAATGAAGTAAGCTGAAGTTATATTATAAGGACGAAACTGCTTTCGAGAATCTTTTTTTCGAATTTCGATGTTAACAAAAGTTCAGTTGTGCTTTTATGAAAGCATATATATTAATAATAGTATATTATGATTCATCAATTTCGAGTGATAAAAAATTTTTCATTGTCGATATTTATTCTTGTTTTAGGACTTCGGTAACATCTTTTCTACGCTATTACCTGGAACAAATGCAAAGCTTGAACCTCCAGTTGGAGTTGCTTCAGCAACAGGTGGCTTAGAAGTTAAAGTTGCTTTCAGAAACAAATGGAAAGAGTCACTTGGTGAATTGTCAGGTGGTGAGTGTTTTGATTCTCGCTCATGTTAATTTTTTTGCCAGTCATTTACGGAAGTAGTTATAAATATCATTCTGTCGGAAACATTAAATTATTCTTCATTTTTAATTGGTGAACCAATCGATATTTTTTATTAGAAAGGTAATTCTATAGAAAGCGTAATCTTAGAGATTTTTGTAGCAAGATTTTTAAGTCACAGTGTTTCTGTTTTTCATTAGACCTATAGTATAAATCAGCTTGAAAATCTACAGTTTTTCAACGAAATTTTCAAGTATTTTGTATGAGCTATAATTGAGCCAAATTCAGTTCAATAAAATATCAGAAATTTTTAGGTCAACGTTCTCTAGTAGCTCTGTCTTTGGTATTAGCAATGTTAAAGTTTAAGCCAGCTCCTATTTATATTTTGGATGAAGTAGATGCAGCTCTTGATCTATCACATACTCAGAATATTGGAGCCATGATCAAAACACATTTTAAGGAATCACAGGTATTTTTGGTTACAAGTTTTTGATTTACGTTAACCAGCACTTCAGATCTTACCACACTTATGCCGGCAAACGTTATCTGCGCGTTTATATTAAAATTATCTGCCCATACTTTTCGTACTTGGATTTATTGCACCATCATTATTTTTCATGTTTATCGACCTTTTTGTGCCATTTCAGTTCATTATTGTGTCACTCAAAGATGGGATGTTCAATCACGCAAATGTACTTTTCAAAACTCGGTTTGTTGATGGTACTTCTACAGTGCTACGCACCGAAAATAGGAATCAGTGGGTTATCGATCACCCCATGAAAATGCATTCCGAAAGAGGAAAGGCATATAATAATATGCCAAGTAAAAAACGTAAAGAAATGGAGAAGTAGAAAAAAAGCTCTCATGATTTATTGCCATATTAACCTGTTCTGAAAGTGAAATTTCTATTTCAATTACCATCAGTCTTCCGGAATTCGCGACTAATATTTGTTGCAAATATTGCTTGTTACATATGTAGTTTTTACTGAAGACTGGTTTTAATATGTTCTGATAAAATAATATGCTTAGAAGATTTTAATATATTTTTGACTTCGACCTGTTGAAATTGAACTGATAAGTTTTTCAGGGTTCATATATGCTGTCATTGAAAATCGTCGTAATTATTGCTGTCTCTTCTGAGTTTACTTTCTCATGAACCTCCAGTATTTTTGAAAGGTACTTAGTGTATGTTGTATAAGTGAACTGTAGAAACTGATTTTATTGGTTCTTAACCTTTAATAGTGCTTTTCGGGGAATGAAATTTACTACCAATGTCTTGATAGTTTCAGATGGTATTTAGGTTAGAAGAATATTTCTCAACTTCTTCATTTGCTGAAGCACATACCATATTATGTTGAGAAGAACTAAAAATAACTGGTAATGCTATTATGCAAAGAGAGTTCATTCCTTCTAAGTTTAATTCTGTAAATAGTATTTATTTTCGTACAATTTTCATGACATTGTTAAAGCAGAATTATGACAAGTTTCAGTGAATTGTTTCACTGATGAATATACGAGAAAAGAAGTTTTTTTATATTTTAGATTACAGAAGCTTGTTATAGTTCATACCATAAAAATACAAATTCATTTTCATTGAGGAGCTATTTTTTCTGATGTGGTTTTATGAATAATGCTAATCGTATGTGCATAGATTTTTACTATGTTTGCTGTAGTTTAGGAATCAAAACTTAATATATTGTAAAGTATTGTTTGCTTCGTACCTATAATGCGATCATTTCTGTTAACAAGTATGTCATGAAGAAGCCTACATGCCAACAAGCTCAGCTTGTAATTGTCCTATTATTTCGCTTTCTCCATGTTTGACTTTAACAGTTTATGCATATTCTGATTGTCAGCTTCGTTCAGTGCTTATAAGAAGATGCTTTTATAGTTTTGACACCACTGTATAACACAAGCATAAACATCGTACATAGCTGGAAATCTGTCAAATTTTTTGCATATTTTGAGCAATTTTGGTCCGTCGATTGAATTGCTTGAACATCATTGAGCTCTTCATCCCAATACCGTTTTGCATCATCACACCACCACCGAAACCTGCACGCCATCGTTCATTAGCTAAGCGAATTGTTGCACTCATTTTAGGCTGCTAAAATATAAACAGAATTTCACTTTCTCTTGAGATTTGAGAGGGTTTATATCAAAACAATCAGTTTTTTAGGAAGATAGTTTACCTGCCAGTACGATGTCCTGATACGATTTGTTACACAATTAGCAATATACATGGAGAGAAACGCGGTGATAACGAAGGCAAATGATACAAGTATAGCCCACTGTGGTACTGATGATCGCACCTCTAGCGGTTCTGCAATTTATGTATCTAGATAACGATGCGTTGATTACATTGACCGTTAAGTAATTTAGCTGAGTAATTATTTGAAGGAGTTAAACTTTGATAGAAACTATTTGTTAGTGTACAGAGATTCATAAGATGTATTTATATTTTTGTGTACTTGATATGTAAAGAAGTACTTGTTGCTTGATCTATGTTATAATAGTCTTAACTGTATGACATTGTTGTTATCTGATTATGTGTTTCAAATGTATTTTTCATTATTTAGTTACTGCCTTCACTGTTATTACTGTATATCTTTACTGCTTCTATTGTCATTATTATTGTTGTTATCATTGTTACTGAATGATAGATGGATTTTATTTGAAACATAATTCCTAGTAAACATCATTCACCACACTTTGCTATCTTTTTTTCATGCACTAATCATAACATAACATGCACTAAGTTTTGTAAGCTAGTCTTGAGTGATTAATAAATTTTTGGAAATGCTTAACATATATTTGTTGAGTATGATTTGCTGTGGAAAATTATAGAAAATGACTTATTACTAAAAGTTGTTTGCGAAAAACTAGTGCCAATAATAAGCTATTTCAGCACTAATTGCAAGCAAGATTATGATGTTAATGAAAAGTTGTTTTCATCTCATTCACGTCCGTCATTTGAATTGTTCTGTCGTCAAGAGAGAAAAAAGATTATTTGCTACATATTGTGAAGCTAAAATTGACGCTTTGAAAACAATAGTAGGCAGCTGAGTTAGAAAAAATTATAGTGAAGAAATCATTGCCGATTCAGATGTGATGATAATTTCAGATTTACATATGAAAGGGATTTGAAATATGTACTTACTTGAGCGGATAATCTTACCAACATGTTTTAGATAATCATCGATAGCCGTATAAATTGAGTCCCTGCGCGATATTGCAAATGGATGAGAAAATCGTGATAAATGTTCATAATTATGTCTAAAACATGTCAAAAAAGCGAAGCAAACGTTATTATTTGAATTAAATGGGTTAAAAATATATTATGAGAATGCGTGATGTATTTAATTTTGTAAAAAGTTATAAAAATTTGTTAAATTAATTTAATGGAATATGAAAGTGAAGTTTTCCACCTGTACAGAGGTACAATGTAAGGCTTCCTGACTTTTCCCGGATTAAATGTATTGATATAAACGATCATCAGGTCAGCTTGGCAATCATTTGTCCAGTGTTGTGCCAATTCTTCTGCATAAATTAATGCAGCTGCAGCTAAGGAATAGGGCCGAGGAAATTCCATTGCTACATCACATGCATCCAGGCTGAAATTAAAAATATTGTTTCTTTTTTTGTCTCATATTGGTGCTTACATCTTTATCGTCATTTATGCAATCCATCATAAATATTAATTAATTTAGCATATTTTTTTCGTTCATGAAAAAGATAATGATGATAATGATAATAATAGCGATAGTAGCAAATGTAGTTAATTAAAAACTGTTAGTTAATTAATATAAAAGAACCTTTCAATACTAGTTGAAGGCACGATAACAATAACGATACGTGATAAAGACGGTTCACAGATATGTGGTCGTCTGCAGAAACATGAAGTGAAATTGAAAGGTTGAATAACTGAATCAAGCATTTCTATTTCTGTTCTGGAAAGTGAACCTAAAAGAAATATATTATACGTTTTCATCATATATACTGAATAATTTTGCTTTAGATGGAGGAACAGCTCAAATTGACTACGATCTTGAAGCTTTATTGATTATTAATTTTATGCAGTAACAATCAATATTATAAAAGTTTATTACCAAATGTCTCATAAAACTGTAAATCTTAAAGGAAAAAGCAATTATTGTGAAAATATATTAATAATAGATTTACCGGATGGATCACAAATGTAAGGTTTACTGTGGTAATTGAATTGGCAGAAAATATCAAAATTAGCGGTGGATGGAGTTGGAGTGAGACACGGTGCACTCATTAGTCCATTAACTGGTAAACTGGATAATGGCCTGAATTATTATTCTGCTCTGTTAAAGTAGTCATAAAAAGGGATTAAAAAAGAAAAGACTTAAAAATTAAATATTAAAATTAAGCATTGTTCAATATGAAAACGAAACATGCATATTTAATGAAATACTGTTAATTGATTTAAATGCAAAATTCAATTCATTTTGCTAAATTTTGAAAAAATAAAAAAAATAACCTGTAAATTGAGCGCAAAAAGAGGCAGAAATCAATTAAGCAAGACAATACTATGCATAACAACCATTGTTGCATCACAACATTGATAACTGTCTAAAATTAATCACATGACAAAATTATAAAAATAAGTTTAAAATTTGCAATAAAATAAATATTTTGATATATTTGCAAAGATCATTGATAAATGATTTCTGCTTTCTTTTAAGTTAATAACTGCAATAATAATAGGTGCTTCTTAACGTGTGTGCGTGTGTATATACGCTTCTTTACTATATTTTGCGTATTTGTAGAATAAATGCAAATTGAAGTATGCTTAAATTAAATAATAAACTTCATTACAACACTTTATCAAACTTTTCATACTTGTACTTTACAAATCAAAATTTGTTTGTTTATAAGCAACAAATTGATCAAAAAATTTGCACATTTTTGAATGCAAAAAAGATGTAAAAAATTAATCACAGTACTTTTAAATTTTAGCACTTTTATTTTTGTTATTTTTCTTAGACTTTTTTGATATTTCATTTCAAACTTTAGCATTCATTATTTATTTATTAATAACAGTAGCTTTGCATAAGACTAAAAGAGTATTTATGCAAAACTTTTGTTATTTATTATCAATGAAAACTTAGTCAGTTAGTTTGTTAGTTCGTTAGTTAGTTAGTTAGTTAGTTAATTAAATTTAAGTTAGTTGGGTAGTTGATTACTTAATTAGTTCAGATGAGTTTAGTTGCTTCATTTTATTTAGTTAATTAGTTAGTTATTTAATTGATTAGTTTTTTTTAATTCGAAATTTAGCTCAGAAATTTTAGAAAAATTTTTGTTGAAATTTTTAGATGGACAAACAAATTTTTATTCCCTTTCTAAAATATGTATGCATTTTTGAATTTTTTTTTCATGCAAATGTGAATTGTGCCTCAAAATAATGTTATCATTTTTCTTTCTTTTTTTTCAATGCGCACAAGACAAGAAAAAATGTAGAAAAGCTATCATCTCAAGGGAATTACTACTTTAGCTAAACTTAAATGCAAAAACAAATAAAAAAGATCACATTTGAAAGTGTTAAAAAAGTTTACTTACATCTGTAAATGATATCAATATGTTTTTACTACCAACAAAGAAAACAAA